AGTCAGAATGTCAAAAGTACTGTGAACAGCATTAAGGAGCTTTACCTTTAATTTAGATGTTTGGGTCATTAGTTGGATAGTTTTAGAGAAAAAAGGATTGTTCAGTGGCAACAAAAAATCATATGTAGGAGGAACAAATTAATGGAAATAAAAGAAGACCCTTCCAGATAGTGCAATTACATTACAAGTTACTAATCCTTCTAACAGGCAATTGTCAAAACTAAAAACCATGTGTTCTTAAAGTGTCTTTTTAAAATGATGACAGAGTGAGCAACCTCGTTAATGTCATATTTCGATTCGCGAAGCCTCTCACTCCAAAAGCTAATGTCCCAATGTGTCAAATCATCAGCTTCCAATGCACCCTGGTCTTTTGAGAATTTCTTAAGGTCTTCCAGATCTGCAAGGAGGAAAAATGGATCGTCAAAATTATACTATACATACAAAAATAAATAAATAAATAAATAGAGAATCGCATGTAAGATATATGTCAGATTTATTAGGTGTTGGAAATTAAGGAATCCTACATAAATCAAAAATAAATTTATTTTTTGCTATTTTGTTGTAGTCAATGACAATATGGAGCTAACTCAATATATACAAAATTCACCTTCCACATATATGTGACTGATTGGAAAAACGGCATACAATTTAAATCATGATGCAAACACTACCCCATAGACACAACATATACACTACCTTGTACTGCAGCATCCCAGGAAGCTCTACGAAGCTTTTCTAGAAGTTCTTCGGCTTTATCAACAGTTGCCATTTTGGTTGCCATGCTAACCTGAAAGATAACACATCAACAACCTACATAGAAGATAGAACTATATTCTTAATAATGAAAGAGTCATACCTCAGCATAGTTATTGTAGTTGAGAAGCTTGGCCTTTTCCAACTTAAGCTTTAAAATTTGCTCAATCAGTACAGTATTATCCAAATCTCCACTAGATGCACGTGTTATATACGCACGGTAGACTTCCTCACGCAAAGAACGATTGCGAGCATGTTGCATAACAGCAATATAACATGGGGCATCCAATGTAATTATCCATGGCCCACTCTCAGCGGTGGCATTTTCATGCCCCTGCATTTTTTTTTTCGTCAAGTAATCAAAACTCGAAAACATAACATGATTGTCATAACTTCAGAATAATAACATGATAACATGTCAACATTATTTACCTTGGACACTGCAGTCTGTGCAGCCAACCCAAGAGCAGTAGCAGGTAATCCTTCAATCTCTTTCTTATCTGTAATGAGCTTTTCGAAATTTTTCGTCGCATCCAGAACGTTTTCCCCAAATTTTTCTGATAATCTTTCCAGCTCCTGCAGATGAAACCGTGACAAAATATATTTAAAAAATAAATACAACTAAAAGAAACCATCATCAGTTGAATCTCATTTAATGATGGTGTACAATCACATTGCTTTAGGAATTTTAGTGCATGTGAATGTGTAGATTCATTAAATGAAATCTTCTCACTACATTTGGTTTGTTATCGAACCAGTTCATGTTGCTTGTCCTACTTATTTACTACACACGTTTCAAAATATGTACAATTGCAAACTCATGATCTCAATTTCCACCCTAGTCCGAAAATAGGATATGCCCAGTTAGTTAGCCAAAGACTAGTGCATAATCATTGTAAATGGTGGGAAACTGGGAATCAAATAGCATGCACTATATTAATAACCACAATTTACGTTTGTTTATAGTTGTTAAAATAGCGCACCTGTTCAATTTTGTTAAACTGTTCTCGTTTATCATCTTCAAGAGAAACACCACTAAGAACTGCCTCCTTTATTTGGTCTGCAAAGGCATAAATACAATTGTCACGAACAATGTAAAATGAAGGGCCACGGTCTTAAATCCCGTAGAAAGTAAATGAAACAAGAGTCTGTTATTTGGTAATTGGCATGAGTTTAAGAGTAAAGTCATAAAAATATTTCACATTTCCAGTCACACATCAACAAGTGAAACACACACAACATCTCTCTCATGATAAATCAGAAAATTAGCAAAAATAGTGGAACCCTAAATCAGAAAACTTCACACCAACTACGCATGCAGCATCTTTCACAATCCTCTATCTTACTAAATAAAAATCTAGAAGCTGAGAATCAGCATCAGAATGCAACACAAAGCAACTCAAGCAATTTAAGAGTATGAAATAACATGCCAATACAACAGCATATCACAAGAACAGCATAAACAATAAGACATTTGTCAACTTACTTTCAACAATTCGCCTGCGAGCATCACTAAGTGTGTTCCAATCAGAAGACTCTTTGATAGCTTTGAATGCATTATAAATAGGCTTGCTTTGGCCCAGTCTAAGCTGAAACTTAACTTTTTCTCCCTGCAAATATAAATTAATCATCGTTTAACACAACAAAATTACAGCAATCGAAATTCATAAGCGAAATACATAGATGACCAAAAACCCATGAAAACATTTTAAACAAGGTAGCAAACCAATATAATAACATGTCGCAATATGGCTCATAGTCATATCATGTGCTAAAATCGAGCCCAAAAACCACTATTTACCAGAGCTACATACTAACATGTAGATCAAATTCCACTATGCTACACAATACTATAGCCATGCTATAACCACTATTTGCCAGCGCTACGTACTAAATTGCATATCACATAACAATAGGAGGTTATAGCCTCAATTTAAAACCATGCAATTCACATAGAGCATTGCCCTACATCCCAATGCACAAACAACCATATTAATATGAAAATTCAACAGTTACAGTCCCATCAACAGAATCAAAGATCCAGAAATACAAAATTACACATAAAACATATATACCTGCACATCTTCAATGGCTGAACGGAGGTCAGCATTATCCTTAACAGCTTTAAGATGATTAAGCATACCCCAAACAACAACCAACCGGTCGACAATCTTCTCCAACGGCTCTACCAATTTAGGCCAGGAAGGTTCCACAGTCCGTTCAAGCTCCTCCAAATCACGCTCCTACAAATCAAACCCCAAGGCAAAAACCAATCAAACCCCATCATTCAAAACCCTAACAAAAACACAAAAGATAACAACTTGTTACCAGCTTATTCAAAAGGGTGCGAATTCCAGGTCGCACGTGTTTGGGTTCAACAACATCGAAAGGCGGAAAAACAAATTCCTCGAGAATGGGATTTGCTTCAATAGCAGAAGCGGCCATTGATGAAGCAGAGAGAGAAGAAGAGGAAGAAGTGGTGAAGGAAGGGGAAGTGGACTTATGAAGTGAATCAATGCAGAAGGAAAAGGAAGAGGACCAGAGGGGACAAGGATGGGATTTGTTGATTTGTTTATGGTTAAAAATGGAACAAGTGCGTTTAAGAAGTGGGTGAATTGAACGAGAACGAGATAGAGAAAGTGTAAGAGTGAGTCGTGTAGCCATAAGCATGTTTGATATAAGAAGGACTAGAATAAGTTTTTGGTGTCTCATTTTGTTTTATGTTTTGTATAGTATGCTGTTTTTTGGTTAGGTTCTTGAAATAATCTTAGATCTCTATTTTTGATATTTTGGGTTGTTTTATTTTTAATTTACAAAGTTTTGAATAAATAAATTAATTATTGGATTTTTTTAAGTGACATTTATTTTATAAAAAAAATCTTGATGAGGAAGTAATGTTTTAAAGATTTTGACATGTTTTTATTTATTTATAGGTAGCTTTGTTATAATTTGTGTTTGGTAACCTTGATGTTACTTTTGTAGACACTTAACTAGAATGGATTTGTCTAATGCATCATACATTTTACATTGAATGGGTTTGACAATTATTGGCATTTGGAAATTCTAATTTGAAATTCCTGCATTCATGCAATCTGACTTATGCGATCCGTTTCAAGGTTGCATTTTGAAACAGTTTACTCATTTTAGAGCGTGGAGTTGTCTGGTCAATTTAGTTTGTCGTGATCAGAGATTCAGATTACATGATTGTGGCAAGTGCATTTCCAACAGCCTGCAATTTGGAATCATAAATCCCAAACATTGCTAGGGTGATGGTTGATGTTATTTTTTAGTTTTGGTTCAGTTGAATGAATCTGTTTCTCTATTACAGCAATAAAGCCATTGAAATTGCTGAAATTGTTCATTGATCTTTAAAGAATAAAGATGAGAATGTTATACAAGAAAAAAGAATTCACATCACAAGCCATATGGGTTTTATATAGCTAAAGAAGCTGGTTGTTTATAGGAGAATATCTTCAATTCTTGACACAGAAAACAAACCAATGACAGTAGCGCCGATTGAATGTCTGTTTAAGAAATTTTGTTATTCTAGACCTTAGTTGCATTTGGGAAGTGCTAGGTAGAATGTTTTAAATGTTGATTGGCCACAAAGTATATTCAAAAGAAAAATCATCATCATTTAATGTGTTGACTTTAGATTTCACAGTTATGTGCTTATGTGCTTACTATAAGCATTTATTGAAGTTGCTTATTTAAACAGGGCCCAAATGAATGTTGAAAACATTGACATGACAACTTAAAAGCTTGCAAGTCGCAATTCACATTTAATAGAATATAAATAGATGTATCTATACATTGCAAGAAGATATTTGATCAAGTTTTGCAAGTTCCATACATAAGAAAGTTCCAGCCTAATGATTTTCATCTGCTATATATAATCGCCTCTTCCATTAAGCAGTAAAACTGATCCCCTTGAAGTGCTTGACCATCATAGTGTTAACAGACACTGACACATAGCAAATAAAATACGTCAGAGAATATCAAACAGCAGTTTTGCATAATCTAGTGGAGAAAATTTGATTTTAGACTCATAAGTGCCAAAAGCTTCTCAGTCTCAGAAAAGAAAACAGATTCAAAACCACATCACATGATCAAAAATTTCACAATTGAAGAATTAGTATGCTTGTCTCATCAACATACTATATAATGCATTAACAATTTAACAACTGTATTAAAAAAGAAATGATGTGATTGACATAAATGATTACCTGATGGAAACTTTCTTTTACTTATTTGTTGTACTTCATGGTTGCTTTTTCAAAACCAATGGTTGGAAATTGTTTTGCAAACTCCTCAACATCATGCTTAAGTTTGGAAATCTCTGATTGCACATAAGAGGATGTCTGCAATACTTCCACGAAGTCCTTTAATTTTGTTCCTAATTGTAAAAGTTCATCGGTAACAACATTTTTAGCTTATTAAAGCACACAGCAAGATAAACACAAACACACAGGATGGGTATAGAAAATTTATGAACCTTTGCTCTCTGCTTTAACCTTCAAAGCCAAACTCACAGCTGCATCAAAATACTCTGCTACCTTGACGAAATCCTCCTCAACAAATCCCCTTGAAGTAAGAGCAGGAGTTCCTGAAATTCACAAGAGTTATCAAGATCAAGTAGTTGAACAAGGACAAATCAAAATCAAAATGTAGATATGATTTATATGAAGAGCCTGTACCCATCCTGATGCCACCAGGAACCATAGCAGACACATCTCCTGGAACAGTGTTTTTATTAGCGGCAATATGTACTAATTCCAACACTTTCTCAACTCTGGACCCATCAATGCCCTGAACAATTTTTTTTTTGAAAAAGAACATTAGTCTCAAATTAAATACTTATTTTGATGAAACAGTAACTTTTATGGATCAGAACTTACGTATATACTCTATATAAAAATTCTCTCGAACTAAATCATATTGATAACTAGTCATTTCATGTCAGCTTTATGTCTTAAATAATACACAAATAATTAGCACTGAAGGTTATGATTTCAAAACTTAGAAGACTCCATAATTCTTATATGAAAAGTCAAAGTAGTTATCAGGTTACCTTCTTCTTCAGATTCACCAAAACTAAATGATTCTCAGTCCCACCGGAAACAAGATCATAGCCTTTCTCACTCAGAGCCTGCAATATATTCAGTGTAAATTAATACACGGCGAATTAATCACTTTGGTCCAACAAGGAGACCACCCTTGTGTTGATTGACATCCAATATCTATGAGAAGAGACAGTTGAGTTATATTATTTAATGTACCTTTGCAAACTTTGAGCTATTGCTGAGAACCTGCTCTTGATATGCTCTATACTCTGGAGTTGTAGCCTGAATCCACAAAAGGAAAAACAAAATATATTACTATCACTTAATGAGTATGTATCACATACAGTACACACATTCAGTCAGTATCACTAAAAAATTGGGTCGCTCTGCAAATAAATCCCTCAGAAAAATCCTCTTGTTAATGTAAAAGTTTAAAAAGAAGAAAGCTTGTTTCATATCCATTTCAATGTTTGCTGCGGTAACTTACATAAAAACCACAATATCGAGAGACAAATTAGACAGTGGCACAATTAAAACGGAAAAACAAATTGGCCATCGTAAATTTTCCTATTTATTTACCTGCTTCAATGCAACAGCTAAACCGGTAATGGTATGGTTGTGAGGACCACCTTGCAGTCCGGGGAAGACAGCTTGATTGATTTTGTCCTCATAGTCATAGAACACCTTCAAATAAGTAAGAAGAATTAGTATATCTCTTTTTGAACAATGCCGTGAACTTAAATAAATATTTGAAGGGAATAAGAAAAACATGATAAAATAATGTAAACAAAACATGAAACAGAATATGTTAGTGCATAGACTATCAAATGAATTTGGTTCAGGTCATCAAGGATGTACCTCTTTTCCTTGTTTGTTGACTTCTTTCAATCCCTTCCTGAAAAATATCATAGCTCCACGTGGGCCGCGAAGTGACTTGTGAGTTGTGGTTGTCACTACATCTGCATAATCAAAAGGTGAAGGGATAACACCAGCTGCAACCAATCCACTGATATGTGCCATATCTGCTAACAACACAGCTTTCTGTTTATCGCAAACCTGTTGTAAGTTGAAAAATGTTTCATGAGTTGTTTCATATAACCGCTCAAATTGAAAACAACAAATTTAGAGGACAGTTTAGTTATATTTAGAAAAATCACGTTGCACTTATAAGTTACCTTGCGTATGCGTGCATAATCATACAGTCTTGCATAGGCACTAGCACCGGCAACTATTAATTTTGGCCTGAAGAGTGTAGCCGATTTCTCTAGCTGCAATTTAAAGTTGTTCAATTAATATAAAATTTAAGGTGAGACAAAAGTGATACATGAATTAATTCTGATCTTAAGGAGCGAGACTCAAATACTATGCTTCCTAATTGAGAAATGGATAACATGTGAATATCTTTATTTTAACTGTACTTATTTGAGTATGATAAAGCTAATTAATTGTGTTTAAAAAATAATTGATAAATGAGAATTATCTTCAAAAGGAACATGAATATGATGAAAGAAACTGTAAAATACCTGGTCATAGTCAATGTAACCTGTGCTTTCATCCAACCTATATGGCATTGTCTCAAAGAATATAGAGACTGCAGATATCTTTTTGGTGTCGGTCTGCAAAGTGAAGATAGTAACTAATAATGTTCATCTCGAAAGAACATACATAAGTCGTCTGAAAAATGCAAACAATCTTTAATATAACAAAATACATTGTCGGTAGCCAAAACAATGTCACCGTAATAGAAATATAAATGCGTAGAAGTTCAATACTTCATTAAAGTGTTGTGAGCTAACGGCAAAAGATATTCTCGGAAATTTGTCAAGAATTCATGACCATATGCCAAACCATACCAGGATATAAAATATGGAAGTTGCTAATACCTGGTATCCATGAGAAAGATGCCCTCCATGAGGGAGATCAAGTGCCATGATTCTATCATGAGGTTTCAACAATGCAGTGTAAACTTGAAAATTTGAAGGTGAACCAGACAGAGGCTGCACATTCACTGCAAATCAGGGGTAACAAAGATGAGAACGCTCCCACTATAGTAATAATATAGTAATAAATCTATTCACCCTCAGAAAAGCTCGCGAGAAGTTATTTCAAACTTTCAAACAAGAAAACTCCATGGCAGATTTCAAGCCTTAGCATGTTCATAGTTGATTTTAGATTTTTTTTTTCAAAAAGTAATATCACTCAAGAGCTCAAGTTAAGCCCAAACAAGAGATACTATACTTGTTTATGCTAAGAATTAACCAACAAAGCAAGTACCAAGTATTAACAAGGAAACATAAATCGAAAATATAGTACAATCTTGCCACATATTTTTCTTACTGATCTGTTTCTCTTGTGTTCTTACCTCCCCATTTAGCAGGATCCAACCGAAACGCTTCCAAGGCACGCTTCTGGCATAGTGTTTCTGCCATGTCAATATACCTGCAATAACCAAAAAGCTCAGTCTTTGAATTGGATTCAATTTGGTGCTTACAAGAATGAAATCCAAAATCATTACTCTATATTCACTTGCTTCCATGAATTATTAAAAACAAAGCACACAAATCAAGTAATAAACACACATACTCATTTCCTCCATAATATCTTGCCCCGGGATAACCTTCACTGTATTTGTTCGTCATGATAGAGCCAACAGCTTGCATAACAGATAAAGAAGTGAAATTTTCTGATGGTATCAGTTCCAGCCCCTTCACAAAAAAAAACCATGTTCTCGTTAGTATACCATATCATGCTTCACCACACTATACCAAATATTTTAGAACAATCAAACAAACAGTTGGTGAACTCTTTTGATATTCAATATTGTTAGAACTGCAAATAACATAGTGTAAGATAAAACTGAAAAATCCTATATATACCTTCCATTGTCTAGCCTTTTCAAGCTCAATTATATCAGCAATTTCAGGATCAATAACCTCAAGTGGAGAATTCAATTGCTTTGGCCACTGCAAAAAGTAAAATTTCCTCAAACGAAAACCATCATGAACAAGAATACTACAGGTGAATAAGGTTCGAAATCAATGACAAGCATACCGTAACACGTGGATTCTCTTTGTCGTAAACAGCTTCATCGGGCAAAGAAGACTACATTGAAATGGAAATTATGAATAAGATGAATGGAAATTGATTTGATTTGAATTGAAAAAGTGAAGAAGAACCTTGTAGTAAAGAGATGAAGCAGAAAAGAGAGGACGTGAAGATTTGTTGACGGAAGATGAAAGCTTACGAAGCGCCATTGCCATAGCCATGTTAGAGATAGAAAGATAAACAGACCAAGTGTTCGTGTCTTCGTGTGTGTGTGAGATTCTTTGAATTATAGTTTTGGTCGTTTTTATTTTCTCCAAAAATTATCAGGATTTCGTGGATGGTGATGATAAAGATAGATAAAAAAAACAAATTATTAATTTATTCTTATAAATAAAATTTAATATAATATAAATTTTAAAAATTAATTAATTTGTAGAAATTATAATATTTAAAGAAAAAATTATTACAAAATTTTCAAAATATTTTTTAATACTTTTTTAAAAATAAATCTAATTTTTTATAATCGTATATATCACATTTTTAATTATATATTTAGTCTGTATTATGAGTTTCTACGTTGTTTTATATATTTATAATTAAATTAAATTGTGGGGGAGTGTCCAAGATTATTGTGTAATTCTTTATGGATATTTTGGCAATTATTAAAATGAAGAAAATAGTTAAAATAATATTTGTGCATTTGAGAAAATAGTATTATTTATTTGTGCATGAAATTTGATGGATATTGGTAGGATTTAAAGCAGGCCAGAAATGCGCTATCCTTGAAGAGCCATTTGATAGCCACAAAATGAACGATCGGCATGGGAGCTGATAAGGTAAATCAAAATGATTGGGACATAGATAGATGTTGCCACTACAGCTTTGTATCGTTTCTTTGACAAGTATATTTTACCTATTTCTAGTTATTATACCTAATAGTAATTTAAGTTATTAGTTAAAAAGAGTTAAGAGTTTATTTGTGTGAACCGACAAGATAGAATATCTGGATTATATTATGTTTTAATTTGTAGAGTTGTTAAAATGAACGATTTGATCTATACTGAATTGGTTTTGATGGGTTCGAGTTTTTAAGAGTTGGCAGGGCCGTCTCAAACTTTTGAGAGATCCTGTATAAAAATTTAATGTTAACTTCATTTGAGTAGTAAATTATTTCTAAGAGATTCTATTTAAATGTGAATAATGTGTATGAAGACCTTTTTTGTTATAGTTTATTTATGGAAAAAATGTCAGACCTTGTGTTGTAGGTTGCCTTGCAGACCCTAAAAGACGGTCTTGAGGACTGGGCCAAAAAAAACATATTTCTAATATGGGCTCGAAAATTACTACCCAAGTTCGGCTCTAGATGGTCTTCGGGTTACCCGGCCCTAAACGAGTTTTTTTAATAAAAACTCCATAATATTTATTATAAACAAAATTAAAAATTCTATTATTTTAAATATAATATTTATCTTTTATAAATATTATAATGTGTTTTTAAATACAATAGATGTATAAATTGTATAAAATAAAATACTCGAAAATATTTAACATAAGAGAAACTAATAGAATACGAGAAAAATGTGTTGATTATATTGATGTATAATATTTAAAAGAGAAAGATTGAATAGAATAGAGATAAAACTTAGTGAGATGAGAAAAATCAATGTGTTATTTTGGAGTAAGACAATATAAGTATTGATATAAAATTTTATAATTTATAGCGATGTGGGCCTAATGGCCTACCCACGGCCCATACGTGTTAGTCCTGATGGGTAGTGGACTTTTTAAGGACTAGGCTAAAAAAATCCCAAAAAATAATACATTTTTATTGCACCCCATGCCTTTCTTTCCCACCGTGTGGATTTCCACATATGCCCCTTGATTCCGGAGATATATCTCCGGACGCACCAAATTTCAATTAAATGTTAAAACTATTTCATAGATATATCTCCGGACGCCCAAAAACTCAATTGAACGTTGAAATATTTCAGAGATATATCTCTGAAATGTTTTGGAGCATATTAACGCGTCAGACTCTTCTTCTCCTCCCTCACTTTTCATTTTCATTCACAAACTCTTCTACTCTCTCATTCCCAAAAAAATTTAAGTTCACCGAATTTGATTCATTCGTCCGAGGCTCAAGTAATCATCAAGCAGCATCCGGTTCATCATTCAACATCTTCCAAATCATAAATTCCGAATAAGTTTTTCGAGTTTTCGATAAATATTTGAGTTTTGTTGTAAACGAATTAGAATCCATGGTTAGGTATAAAAATTATTATAAATCAGCTAAAACATAGTTTAGAGTAAGTGTATGTATTGTTTGTTGGTTCAAATGGACGATCGGGACTTCAAATTTCACATTATGAGGGGCATAGGACACCATTGTCGTGACCTCTAAGTTTCAAAAAAAATCTGGAGATACATCTCCGAAAAAATTCAACGTTTCATGTACTTTGGGGGATTTCAGAGATACTCTGGTCAGGGAGAGGCGTCGACTATTAGAGCACAGTCTACTCCTGAGATTCAGTCCACTCCTGGGGCTCGGCCTTTACCTCAGGCCACTCCATCTACATCTCAGTCCATTCCATCTTCTACTTCTTCCCGCAGACCACAGAATGCACCAGTTGATGTGTCACTTCCCCATCCTCCCGTAGGCATCGAGATGCACTGGTGCCACCTCCCGATGATGATCATGTTGCACCGGTTTCACCTTCTGCTGATGATCCTGATGTATCGGTGCCACCTCTAGAGGGTGAGGTTATTAATGTCGAGCCAGAGGCTTTCGGAAGGGACCCATCTGATATGTCCCTATTTCCTCTGTATCCATACCACACTATCAGACATATTTGGGACGGAGAGGTAGCATTAGTGTAATATTTTATTTATTTTTTTACGTTAATTTAAATTGTTGACATTGATTATTTCTAACATTAATTAATACTAATAGTGATTATTTATGGAAATCCGCAAGTGCATGATCCCTAGAAGTATCTGAACCATGGGAGGAAGATTTTAGCATTGCATCAGCTGGAAGACCAGTAGTTTCAGTCGATTCGGCCTGCTTTTGGGTTGTGTGACCTATGATGATCAGTTACAGTCTAGTCAACCATAGGATGCTTAATTCATTCGTGGAGATATAACGTTCTGAGATGTATGATTTTCATCTCCCCCATGGTCAGATGTCTATCACCCTGGACGATGTCTCAACTTTGTTGCACCTTCTGATCAGGGGGAGATTCCTCCATCATGGTAGGATAACCAAAGACGAGGCGGTCGATATGATGTTGGAGCCTCTAGAGGCTGATCCAGGGAAGGAATTTGAGGAGGTGGATATGACCAGAAGTGCTCATGTTAAGTTTTCTTTCCTAAAGACGTTATTTGATGTCGAGATCGTTGTTGCACAACAGGCTGATGGTGATGTCGAGCAGGTGACCTTGCACAGGACTCATGTTTTGAGGGCATATTTTCTTTATTTAGTAGGCACTGTGATTTTTGTGAACACAAGTGCCACCTATTCTGACGTTGCATACCTCTGGTACTTCTTGGATCTCACACAGATCCATGAGTACAACTGGGGAGCGGCTTTCCTGACCTATCTGTATTCAAAGTTGAGAGATGGATTTCAGTGGAGGACGAAGCAGGTTACAAGCAACATGACACTACTGGTGGTAATAATGTTTTTATCCTTTAATATTTTGTTTTTCATTTTCATTTCATATTTGCGATAATTCTTGATCCCTAAATACTTTTTATTTTCATTTCAAGCATGGATCCTACAGCACTTCCCGCGCATTGCTAGCTAGGCGTGTTGGGATGAGTACACTAGACGGTCGACTCTTTCAGAGTCTATCTTGAACACTTGGCTGGTGAGGACATCCACTTCAACTTTTATGTGGACCACCGTCATACGCGCCCTTTTGACGACATATTGTTATACTCCGAATGTTTGGTCTGCGAATCGCGTATCACTGCTCCTCATCTGCTCGAGTGAGTCATGTGGCAGTTCGGGTACACTCGAACTATCCCCAAACACCCTATTATCTTTGCTTCTCTTGCCTTGACTTGTATACAAATTGACGAGATGTTTGCTGATTATTAGAGTCACCTGGTTCCGAATGAGGCTCGGGCTACCATAGCGCCTAATGACTGGAGCTACGTCGACGGATACATCAGGTAGTTTTTTAGGGTCTACATCCATACATGGTGCCGATTGCTCCAGGAGATCCGCTGAGACCCGTTCATAAGGAGATTCTAGAAGAGGAACATGCTTAGCTAGATCATACTGAAGATGTCTTTACTCGGTGTCATCGTATAACGGAGATTATGCGGGCAGGCATTGACGAGGGTATATTCCCTGAGGGCTCTGCTGTGTAGTGAGTACTGAATGACATGGTTGTGGAGGCACATGGGGCAGTATTATACCACAGACATTGCGCGAGGACAGGAGAGATTGTTGGCCGATGAGGCAGACCATGCAGAGGAGGTGTAGGAGAGGTTGTCAGGCACACCCAGTAGGGGCCTGTTATTATTTTGGTGTTTTACTATAGTTTGTACTTTTTTCTTGACATTGTTACTACATTTTCGATTTGGTATTGTACGACATTTTACTATTATATGGCTATATAAATTTGTATATCTGTTATTTTATTCGATATCGTTCTTCATAATTCATCTGAAAACAAATACACAACTCGTTATAAAAAAAAAATCTGTTCTAATACACTTCAGATATGTATCTTGAGAAAATTTCCGTAGATACATCTCTGAATATATATATATATATATATATATATATATATATATATATATATATATATATATATATATATATATATATATATATATATATATATATATATATATATATATATATATATATATATATATATATATATATATATATATATATAAAGGATTATGGAAGATATGATGTGAACATTTAAGGTTTAAACAGTTCCTGAGATTAGGGCTGGAAATGAGTCGAGTCGAGTCGAACTCACCTCAGCTCGGCTCGACTCGTTAAGAATTGTTCGAATTCGAGTTCGAGTTCGAGTTCGACACGAACTTTTTTTTAAGCTCAAACTCGACTCGTTATAAGTTCACGAACAGTTCGGTTCGACTCGTTAGGTTCATCTCATTAGGTTCAGCTCACATGGTTCACGAACTTAAAAACTATTTTTTTAAATATATATATTTTTTAGTATATTTGACATTTTAA